GGTGGTCCTATCTATGAGTCCTATTCTGTGACACTCAGAGCCAGTTTATAAGAAAAAAAAGTACATGAATATGTTAAACATAAATACTCCCAAGTCCATATGTCTATATCCATTTTGTCCTTTCCAAGGGATATTCTAATCCAATGAGCAATTTTTTGGACACACTGAAACAAAAGATCACTGAACTATACTAAATTCTATGTGCTGAACCCACATGCAATCCTATACACACACACACACACACACACACACACACACACACACACACACACACACACACACACCTGAGGCATATTATATCATTTCCATGTTTAGATCTCATCAAGCTCTATTTTACAGTTGTTCACAGACTGAAGGATTTGCTTCAGTTTCTTAACAGTTGCATTTCATTAATGCTCTAAATTTAAGTTATAAAATCAGATTGTGGAAAGGTGGAGGGATAAAGAGGTTTTAGTGTAAAAAATCCCCCCCCAACAGGAAAGTATTAGCACTTAGTTTCTGAGATCTCTTTTCAGTAGTCCTGGAATGTTCCATGAGTGAAGAACAGCCTGGGGTGGTGAAGAGACTTTTCGTCCTTCTCTCTCTTAAAGTGCCATTAATTATCTATGGTTTTGAGTAACTAAAATATCCCTCTAATTTAAGAGGAAGCCTATTCAAACAGGGCTGGTTGGGCAAACCACTTTCAACATAGGTTTATCCTTTATTTCCTAATAAAATAAAACATTGTCTTCTATTCTGTATGCTGTATGTAGAGTAGGTTTAAGGGGGAGACTGGAATAGAATACAGTTCAAAAAAAATGCAACTAAAAGTCACACCACCAAGAGTTCAGATCTTATATCTCCTCTAGCCAACCACATCATCTTGGGTTAATCAATCTCTCTTCTCTTCCATCAGTTTCCTTGTCCATAAACCTTATCTAATGAGACTCAGGGCTAAAATCTTCCAAGGAATGTTATAGAAATCAAGTCTAAAACAAGTTTGAAAAACATTTTGAAAAGCAAAAAATCTCAAAGAAATGAATCAATAGTGATATATGCAGTGGAGAGAAAACCTTTTCCTTCCTATTTCTAGGCTGCTAATGAGTGCATATCTCAGGATGCATGCTGATCCAAACCATTGTATATTTCTATCTTTGACCAATCCCCGAAGTAGATGAGGTTTCAGTTTTCCATGACCCCCATTCATATTTCACAGTTCTGACATTGACATTCCAGTGAGTTCCTATTTAGAGTTGGGGAATGTCATGAATCATAAACAATGATATATCAACTTTCACCAAAACCAAGAAACCATCACTTGTAATACACATGATTATTTTCTACACCATTAAAAACAGTAAAGACAATAATGCCATTTATAATTTAAAATTTCAACAATTGTAAGAAAGAAAAATGTACATTTCATGATAGGTAAAGACAACAATGGTTTATTGTGATTTAATATAAGAATTGGTGGTAACAGTTAGTTAATAAAGCAAGGCAATGAAGTAGGATTTAGCTTTCTTTCTATGTATCTATCATGGCCTGCCATGTTCCAGAATAATGGTACTTTATGAATTATCCCATGTAATACAGAGAAGAATTCTTGAAAGACCTCAGTTTTATTCCTGTTCTAACAAAAACAATTAACATCTTCATTTTAACAGTTTAATAGCATTATTAATTCTGACATCAATCTGAGAATGACAAAAGTAGAATTCCATTAACAATCAAATGAGAAGTAAGAGAGATCAGTACTCAAGAAAGGAAAGATCCAATTCAGGTATGTTATTATTAATGTGCCCCCCAAAGTCTCTTCCATGGAGAAAAAATTTATTTTGTGATTAAAACTACCAAGAACAATTCTTTATACTGGAAATGTGTACTAGTAACAACACTCTAAGTTGGCAGGTAGGTTTTGTGATATAATTATGACTGTTCTTTTCCTTAGAGCAAGAATTAGAAAACTTTCCATAAAGGACCAGATAGTAAATATGTTCAGCTTTAAGGGCCATATGACCTGCCACACCTACCAAGTTCTGCTGTTTTAGCACAAAAGCAGCCATACAAAATATGTAAACCAACCAGTGTGGCTGTATGCCAATAAAACTTTATTTCCAAAAACAAGAGGCAGACCAGTTTTGTACCATGGAATATAACTTACAAATGCACACCTTACAAAACAAATAAGCTCAGACTATCTTGCAAATAAATACATTGAGCCAAACATAATTAACAATCTAGTTGTTTCACTTGAAGGAGAATCAAAACCAGAGCCTCTTTGGGGGTCTGAACTTTTAGCAAGTGAAAGCTTAGATTCATGACAATATGCATTTTGCATGCATCTCCTTGGACAGGATAGATTGGATTTTTTAAAGTCTGTCTCAATTAATTTTGAGACTAAAAAATGCTGAAACAGCAATCAGTGTTCCCAGAGTTCATCCTGTTGCAGCAGAATAATCAGACACTTACTGCAAAATAGAAGAGAAACAAAAAATATAGAAAGATGCCAAAACAATCAAAGCAACTACAATGGAATGTGGAGGCTGGAGTTACTTGATTGTTGAGCTGAGGCAGCTCAGCAAAGTCTTCCACATTAATTCCCCCACCTTTCAAGATTCAATTAACCTTTCCTGCCAGAGCAGATCACAATTTGAACAACTTGAGTCCCATTTTAATCAGCTGGATTTGGTTCAGAAGACCTCACAGTTCCCTCAGAGAAGAGCAATTACAGAAACTTGCGATCACATTTGGAATTTCCAAGAAGAAAGGCTACAAATGACCTTCAATTCTATCTTACTTTGCATCAATCCAGTGAACAGTACAGTCCACCTTGATCCCCAGGATTCTACAAAAACAAATTTCAATTCATATAGATGTTTAGTTTGTGTACAGAATATTATACAAAATAAAAGTAGGAGTGTCATGGTGCTCAACATTTTGATCTAATGATGTTACATGGATTACCAACTAGAGTAAAAATTCAAAATCAGTAGTTGACAGAGACACTTCCCAGAGCTGTGGCACACAATCTTATAACACATACTAGTAAAATCAATACCAAACTGCTACTTTGGTATAGCTTGAGAAGTTTTGTATAGTATGTTCACAGTCACTGTCTGTTTTCATAAAACACTGGATAAGATAATACATTCAAGACCTTAAAATGAAGTTGAACACATAGGTTAAGTTACTTGCTTAAAATAATATGATGATGAAGTGCAACATCACCTGATTCCTAGCTTAGATCTTCTTCCATTTAGGGGAAAATAAACTCCAATACGGAAAGGACTTTGCTTAATTTGGTTACTGCTGGATATCCACCTAACTGCTGGATGCATTGCAGTTATTCAAAGCATTCACACTGAATAAGTGAACTTGATTAAAATCATTTTATTTTGATTCACTGTACTAAGATACTGTTCCTGCCAAATGTAAAACTAAGTTTTGGGGAAATTTTTTAAACCATTTTTAAACTAATATAAGATACAATTAAACTTACTGCATGTGGTTTCTGAAAAAGTTTGGATTTTGATAAAACAGATGAATGCTATGTCAACCTCATGAGAGAGGGCAGAAACCATGATTTATACTATTCTGTTTCATCCTCTGCATCTCCAAAAATTCTGGATACAGAAAGACACTGGAGGATTAACCTTCTATTTAATTTAACACTAAATCATTTGCTTTGTCAGTCACAGAGCAACTGGCTAAATAACTGAATATGTGTCAGGGGTCCTATGTATTATTCAAGGCATGTTAATGTTCACAATGAAAAAAATGTTTCCAAAGACTTCATGAACAGGAATGCTCAGTCCAGAAGTGCTTCTAGCAACAGGCATCACTGGATAAAGGTTTATGGAGCATAAATATTTCAGCTAGACAAAAATGCTGGGAAGGAACTATCAGAGCAAAATAAAGTGAGATAAGGAAGATTGGATACTGATCACTTCAGTAATGCACTTTTATTTTCTAACATAACACTGGTTATTGACCAAAGCAAAGCCCAGCTGTAGCAACACGTGGCCAACCAGGGAGAGGTGTCAAAGGATGGATGGAAACCCAGCCTTTCTATCTGGAACACTGGCCTTGGGTCAGATCATCATCTTATTTGACAAGTCTTAGCTTCCCAATTCTCCATGGTTTCCATACACTGCTCTTGGTAACTTACTATCTGCCTTGCTTAACTCCAAGTTCATCAGGAAGGTCAAATGAACAGATGAAGATACATTATGCACATACATATTGAGAAAGTGATCATAATCCCAATTCTACAGTCATCTTCTCAGAATAGAGTCTGTGTATTTTCCAAAGTAAAACCCCAGCAAGAACTGACTACTCCCCACCCAGATCCCTTGGAAGAATTCCATTTCAGCCTCCAGTTCCCATCAAAGATGTCCCTAGCATCATTTCATCCCGATGCTACAGGGCACTTCTTCTGGCTCACTTCCCAGACCCTCAGCTGAGCATATTTCACTCAGCTGAGCATAGTGAACACTTTCAACTGTGCTCTCTACTGGTCCTCAAGGGATTTCCTACTCTCTTTACTTCTCAAGGCCACTATGGAAACAGGCAGTCTGCCTGGCTCCACATTTTCCTGCTACATCTTAGTACAAGCCAGGCTGGCAGGTCTTAGCTCAGTAAGGTGGCTCTTTCCCTCCTCCATGCTATCAATCTGTGAATGATTTTAGACAGTGGTCTCTAGTGCAATACCTTCATTTTATTATCTAACTGATAACACAGGCGAAGTTAGATGCTTCCCATACATTTCAAAGTGGGCAAGCATTCTATCCAGGTTAGGTAGAATCTCAAGGTGGGGGGAGGGGGAAGGGGAGGGGTCAATGAGAGGAAAATGATTGAGAAACTCCACTACCAAGAATATGGGCTGCTTCTCCCAAATGTCAGGAAGATTTCAACACCATGCAGAACTCCACCTGCAGAACAGCCAGGACATTTTGTAATTTTAAAGAGTGCCTTGTCTTCCAGGTATAGGTAATAAAATTAATTTGATACTGTCTTACCTCACAGAAGCTTTGACACTGGTGTTTCCTCAAGTCCCCTGGTTCCTTGCAGGGTTCCAGGCACTGGAAGGGATAAACAACATCAATAAATAACCTATGGTAAGAACCAAAGCCAAAGGAAAAGAGAATCTATTCGGTGGTCTTTGAATGCCTATTTCTCCAGGTTATCTCAAAAAACCCACTAATCAATTAATCATTTTAACTAAGTATAACACAAATCCAAGCAAGGGCATCATTGCAGAACAGGAACCAAAAAGAATATAGTTCAACACAATTATAAAAGGAAAATTATACAGTCTGGCAATGAGTTATATATGAAATGTAATGATACTCATTATTAGGATGAACAGTTTAGGTGGTATTTTTATTCAATAAGAAAAACTTTTCAAAGTTTGTTGCTTCTGATGAAACTTTTTCCTCATAAAATGTAATGATAACTTGCTTTTCAATTGGCAACATAGGGCTGTATTTTGTATGATCTTCTTTGAGTTACTGAGTGAAAATGCATTGTGTCAAATGTCAAATACACACACATATTATAAACATGTCAGCTTAATGAATCCAATAATATTGATATTTATCCAGCTTAATTACTTCAATAAAATACACTGAATAATCTGAACATTAGATTCTGACATAAGAGTTTCATATCAGAGAATAAAGTTTGCTTAAACATACACATACATGTAATAACCATATATATTTTAATAACTTAAAGACTCAAAGATGCTAGCCAGGCTCCATTCTCTATAGCAAGTATAATAATAAAATAACATTATTTAACAAAAATTCCATATGTGCATAAGTTTATTATTATATCGTATAATTATATATTGTTCACACAGCATTTAGTTTGTATATATAGCTATACATATATATAGCATGTAGTATGTGTGTATATATAAGCATATATGTATATATACATGTATACATATATACTTATATTTGGTAAGTGCCTTCATGTGTATATGATAATCAGGACTTGTGACTAAATGAAAATATTATACTCACATGGATGGAGATATGATTTGCAAAATTATATTTCATGCAAGCATTCAATAGCAAAAATTAATAGTCAGGTAGAGTCAAATGTCAGTCATCTAAATATAGGCATATCATTCTCATAAGCTTATGATTACTTTATGTGATTTAAATTTTCTTGATATATTTTCCAATTAAAAATTTACAGTTAAATTTCAGTTTAATTGTTTAACTTATTAAAACAATACTGAAAATGATTCAGATTCACAGATTATGGAGCACATTTAGAACTATTTGCTCAATGGAGGCTCATAACAACAAATTAAGAAGAATGAGGAAACACAGAAGTCTGGAAAGGTTTGGGACACAGAGTGAGTCAAGCAGAGCCAGGGAAATCCATGGCTCCATTGGAATCCATGCTCAAAGGAATGCTATTTCCATTATAACACATGACCCTATTTAGAGCACTTAATACAGGGGCTTAATGTTATAATGTATGCAAAAGAAATTAGTAACCTGAAAAGTCATTAGCAAATCTACGGAATTACTAGATTATTATGATCCCAGAAAGGATTTGGTCCTAGAATACCAAAGAAGCTATGGATGCCAAGGCATTTATATAATTATAACCAATGAAACTGAGTATTTCACATTACAGAGAAAAACATCTAACTCATATGAGCCAAAATACTGACAAAGAAGAACGCTGTTGATACTGTGTTGGTGAACACCCATCTGGCCAATTTAGCACAAAATTCCATACATGTAGCCAAACACTTTCACTAAAGTTACATTTAACCGAACATTTTCATAAAATACAGCAAAGGAAATTGCGTTACCAAAAAGCAATCATAATAAATTCTGAAGCAAAGGAAAAAGATCTGCACAACATTTACATTTCCATGCATTCAATAATCAAGGAAGCAGAACTCATAATTGCATTATGCTAAATAAACAAAATCCACACTAAAACAAAGAAGCCAGCATGCCTATACATTCCAACCTGTTCAGATTAGCATCTGCTAAATCGATAAATAAGGATCGATATTTTCTATGTGCAAAGTAATCATCTCATCACCAAGGTATGGACAAACGTAGCCAGAATGTTCTGTCCTGAAGTAGTATGTAATCTCTTAGGGGAGAAAAGCATGTGAGTAAGTTAGTCTGCAGCAATGAAGCATAAAATAGATGAGAGAACAATCTGCCATGAAAAACTAACAATGTACTAGTTATTCCATGTGGTCTTATTAGAGAAGACTTTGTAGGGCTGAGGACCCAAGAGTTACCTTAGGAGAATGAGTAGGTCTTGTACAATTGAAAGTATACCTTGTGAAACCACAAGGTATGGTGCACAATTGCCAAAAGGAGAGAAGACTAGTGGAAAACAAAGCTACAAGGATGACCCTGGGAAATTCATCAAGGAGCACTGACATTCTCAGAACAGATTGCTGCTTGCTCCAATTAGTGCTTAAGGTGACTTGAGTGTTGCATATAGAAAATGGGTTAGAGAGGTGTTGCAGTGAATAAAACCAGAGCAAAAGTTTGCACAATGGCATTCAAATCTTCCCTCAGTGTTTCTAGTGTCAATAAGCCATTGGTCAGCAGAGGACGTTGAGTGAAGGGATATGAGCAATACATCCACGAAAGGCAGTGTGTAGAGGCAAATGAATGGACGTAGTTGCTGCTTTGTATTGAAAGATGGAATAAGAGAGAAATGAGCACTGAAAGTTTTAACCTAGATGTGAAAGGAAATGATGATGGATCAGAGGGAGGATGCAGAAGCAGCAAGCATAGGGAAAGGTGTAGAGTTGAGTGTTTAACATAATAAACTTGAGGAGTCCTGAGGATATATTGGGAGAGATGTCCAACAAACTATTGGAAATGTGGGTATGAAATTCACAGCAATGATTAAAGTTACGGTGAGTATTTACAAGTTCTTCTTGTCTTCCTCTCCACATGTCTAATTCAGTCCTTTCCGTATTATTTGCTGAGTTCTATTTTGCAGTGTCATACTAAGTAATAGATTTACTAAATCTATGAACTACACAATTCTAAGTAGGGGAAAAATTGAGACTGAAAATGTTAAAACTTTGGGGAGCTGGTCTTTATGAAAACTAGACTAGAAACATGGAGATTTCATAGTTTAGCAGGGGCTTTTTGTATGATTTGTTTTGTTCTCTGTTTACATATCTGTGCTTCAAAATGCTAAAACTGGAGCATGTTGGTATGCGGAAAGAGAGGATCAGAAGGAGGAGGGAGGGGGTCTGATCGAAAGTAGAGGACAAATAGGACATCATCAATTGATTAAGTTCCAGAGAGCTTTATAGGAATTACAACATGGAAACGCAAAATTTTAAAGAGGTCAGGACTCTGATGTCATCTAACTGATCCTTATTCCCTCCAGATTTGGAAACTAAAACACCTTCATAAAAACAATGGTAGACTTAGGTTTATGTCTCTTCCTAGGACTGATCACTCAGTTTGACTGCTCAGTTTGAAGGATGTAAGAGTTTGAATGGAGAGGCACATGAACTTCTCCTGTTGTCTTGTCACACTTTTCCGATACGGAGAGGAAGTGCTGGAGATTAGATATGTGTGCCCCTTATATTTACAGTTCTGGGGGCTAGATTTGAGGGGGCTTGAATGGACAGGTAGATAACTCAGGCCACTTCACAAGTAAGGGATATAAAAACTGATGATTCCAGCCAGGTATGAGATAAAAAAAAAAACAGAAGAAAACACACAACCTTGGAGTCAATTGACCCAGAACACAATCTCTCATCTACCACTTACTAATTGATTTTTCTCTATTCAAGTTTCATTTTAACTTCTCTGAGCTTTTTTTTTCTTCTTGGTTGTTGTTTTTCTTTGTTTGCTGGTTGGTTGGTTGGTTGGTTGGTTGGTTTGGGGGTGTTTTTTGTGCAACAGGTTTTTGTTGTGCTACTCAAACTGGTCTCAAACTCATGATCTTCCTGCCTCAGCCTCCTGAGTGGTGGGATTACAGGTACATGCCGAAATGTTGCGGAAATCTCAGGCTGAGATACGGGACACTGAGGCAGTTTAGCAGGAAGCAACATTTTATTGTGCCAGCACAGACTCAGTGAACTCATGACCAAAGGCTGAGCCCCGAGAACAAAGGGGTCTCACCTTATATGCCCTTGCAAGCAAGTTACAGAAACAAGAAGCAAAGCTCAACCTACATGGCTGCATGTGACTTCATTGGCTATTCTATTTCTCCAGTGCTATGTGACCTTCATGTTTCAGTTCTTTAAGTTTTCTCTCTCTGCCTTGCCATCCCTTCCCCCTGCCTCGTTGTCAGAACATAGCCTGTCTGTTTCTTTTTTGGCCCTCCTCCCTGCTACAACCATACCTGGCCTTATTTTAACCTCAGGTATCTGAATCACAGGTTTCTGATACATAATATGGTAGAATAATATTTGCCAAGAGTACTCTTTCAAAATAAAATTTACTTCACATTTTAAAGGACCTACATATAGTAGAGAGCTCTATGAATCTGGTTCCCTTCCATTTCTAGAGAACTAATGAGGAGAATTTAAGTTCTTTCATATTTCCCTAGTGCCTATCTTTGTTTTCATTTCATTGTAAAATAAATTACATTTTCTTTTAACTCTAGCTTTTCATACATGTCTCAATAATTCTTTTTAAAGTGTTGAATTTCTTGCCAAAAATTCCAGTAGCTATGGTTGAAAGGGATGGTAATATTCTTCTCTGTGATGGAAGGTAGAACAAGAAGGAAAAAATCTGAGACTGTGACATTTTGTAGGACATATATTACACCTTCACAAAATATTTTCTCTTGAACGATTAAAATAATCAAATAACAGTTGATATTTCTTTTTCTGGTTTATTGACTGAATGTAAGAAATAAGCCTTGCATTCTGAACAAAATGTACCTTTTTATTTCATGTTAATATATATGTTCAACCTAAAACGATGCTCTCAACAGAAGTTTCCCAAGATCATTTCTGTTTTCTGACAGCAACATTCTCTGGGAAACTGCAGATCGGTTTTTAAAATGGAAGTTGTTTCTTAAAATATGTGCACCCTACTGCCTTTGGAAG